GCATATTTGGCTTCATGTATGTGACCTTGTCAAAATTGTCCTTGCAGTGGACATTAAATATTGAAAGATGATATGATTGAACATTAAAAGCTTTTTCTGTCTTTGTAGGAAGTTATATTGTACTCAGTGTTCTTTTTTAAGTCTTAATTCTTATGCAAATCAACTTCTAGTTCATCTCTAACACATGCTCGTAGTCATATATTATAATACATCTAGTAGTCATAGATTTTATCCAGCTGTTTAAAAATACCTGTATATGCCCTTCTGGCATATGTCATCGTATAATTTTTATAATGACATACAGAAGCCTTATTTAAATTTGATTTTGCTCAGTCAGTATGGCAGTACATTGCAGTGCTATTATGCATCTGAGTGGAGCCTGACAAAGGAGTGTTGGCAGAATTTGGTAAACATTGTCCAAAGCAAGTGTTTCACATTTATTAGTCTCCTGAAAATGTATTTTTAAAGTCATGAAACTAATTGTTCCTAGAGCTAAATTATTGCACTCACTGAAAAGTATGTTGGTATTCAGCAAGCAATAATCCAAACAGAGCAAGTTAACTTCTGCATATCACAACAATCGTTTATGAAGATATATTACTTCTGTGTGTTGCCATATCAAGTTCTCTTGAAATGGTGACGATGATTTAATCTGTTTAAACTGAAGTCAGAATTCTACACAAGATGTTTGAGAGAGATCCATGAAAGAGCTGGCTGAAAGCAGCGTGCGGGAGGGGAGCACAGAAGAGGAGAATTAGGGTTTTTTTACTTTTCCAAGATGATCTAGTCAGTAATAGGAAAGGAGTTTCACAAGTTCAATTCATGCTCTGTATTTCAGTTTAGAAATACGTAATTAAGACCCTTGTGCATACTAATGTTACAAAGATATTTCTTCACTTCCTTTCCCTTAAAATATTAATATATTTCTCGCCGAATGTCAGCTTACTTGGATTTCTACTTGAGTGATACAGGGCGTCCTCGCTATAAGTCGCCCTGGTATACATCTGTTCCGCACTAAAGTCAATGACACTTGTGGAACTGATGTGTTTCTAAGGCCTCCCATTCCCTCCTATTAAGTCATGCAAAAAAAAGCCCAATTTGCACGAATGGAAGTCAACCACAGGAAAAAAAATTCCCCGCTTTAAGTTGTTTCACTGTAAGTCCAAGTTTTTTAGAACATATCTTGGACCTATAGCAAGGACAACCTGTACACCAGTGAGAAAAGCTTCCCTAAAGCCCATACTTCACTCAGGTGTTTTTGTAGTTCCTGTGTATCAGTCTTCATCTGTTTTCTTTAAGTACTTATCCTCCTAGCTCTCTCAAGACTGCCATTTGTACAAGTTTATTTGACTAGTCTTTGCGTTTTTTCATTGTGTATCTATGTATTTGAGAATCTATCTGTGTGTCAGCCTGTTTGCTTGTTTGTTCAAGAACTCCTCCTAATTGATAAGATTTAGGATCACCAAATTTGGCATACAGCTTTCTCTTATCATAACTTAAAGCAAGGTCAGGGTTTGGTTGGGCCAAGAAAATGAAATGAGTCTGGAATGGGATTGCTTCTCTGAAAACCATACAGAAAAGAGACAGAATCACCAGGAAGGTGAACAAGACTGGCTGGAAGCATGTTACCTCTGCCCCGAGCCTTCCACTCCGCAGACGCCTTATAGAGAGTGTGGGGGAAGGGTCACTGAAGCTCTCCTTCCCTGCCCCTCCCTCCCTTCTCCCCCTCCATTTCATACGTGAGCATTACTGTCTGTTCCCCTTTGTCAGGGAACAATGGGAAAGTGCACAATTTGCTGCATTCCTCACTCTGGCTGAGAAGAAGGGGGGGCAGACAAACCTGGACCTGCCCCAGGCAGGAGACATGCACCTCTCCCCCAGATGTACCTGCTGGAGCTGGAGAGGTTATTCAGAGGCACTTTTCACCTGGCCCCAAGCTGCTGTAGTGATAGAAGGCTGAGAGAGTCCTTTCTCCCTGGTGCAGCCTACTGGGGCTACCTCCAGACTGCATCCCTCTGTCAGTAGAGGGTTGCAAATAAAGCACTTCGAAAGTGCAAATGAGCCCGGGATTTAAATATCCCGGGCTTCATTTGCATACTCACGTTCCGGCACTATGCCGATCACACACCATTTCGAAATGAGGAGTACAGGATCTGTCAAAAAAGCTCCCAGCTGTTGGCAGAACTGCGGCTACACAGCACTTTCACTTTCGATTTAAATGAAGAAATGTGCTTTCACCAAAGGGTGAAGGGACATGTCAGTGCTTCCAGTGAACACCACAAGATAAGCTCTGCCCAGATCCCACTCCTTGCAGCACCTCCACCAACGAAATTGACTGCCCCTACCCTGAGTTCTCTTCCACACCCAAATTCCGTCCTAGAGCTTGCACCTTTCCTGCACTCAAATTCCCTCTTAGAGCCTCAACCCCTTCTGCATCTCAAACCCCTCCTATACCCAAACTTCCTCCTAGAGCCCACACACTGTACTTCCCTCTGCCCCGCCCCAGAGCTCAGACCTCCAGCCAGTCCTCACTTCCTCCACCACCTGAACCTCTCTGTCATAGACCAGAACCCCTTCCTATACTTTGAACCCCTCAGCTCCAACCTCACAGCTCAAGCCCCTTAACCCTAACCCCACTCCAGAGCCCACACCCCAGCCCTTCATGTCCTCCCGCACCCAAACTCTCTCCTAGAGCATGCATCCCTCACCTCCTCATGCATCCCAACCCTCTGCCCCTCCCACACCCTGAACCTCTCATTTCTGGCCCCACCCTGGAACCCACACACCTCCAGTCGGAGCCCTCACCTCCTTCGGCAACCCAGACCTCTGCCCTATCCATGTGAAAATGAGCTAATTAGTGATGGTCTGGGGGAGAGTGCAACAGAGGGAAGGGGGATGGAGTGAGTGGAATGGCCTAAGAAAAGAAGCAGGGTCTTGAAGAAGTGCAGAACCTCAGAGAAGAGGCAGGGTAAGGGAGTTTTGTTTTGTGCAATTAGAAAGTTGGCAACCCTAGTTTATTCTGTTCATTCTTTTTGAAAGAACCTCATCTAATCGGGTCTTGATTTTCACACACAGGGCCAAATCCAGCATCCAAATTGAATTATCCAGAGACAAAGGTTAATATTCTGGCCTTGTTATAATCATTGGCCACTCTCCTGTTGACTACCATTGGGGCTAGGATTCCCTCTCAGAACTTTAAGTAATAATCCCATGGACTGCAAAGTAGCTTTATGAATGTATGTCAGTCCAATAGTGGAGGTAGCTCTCTTTGGTCCCTGTGTATTTTGCCACAGTAGGGCTCCCTTTAGTCCTACCTCTGTCTTTACATGCTTTCCTGCACTCTGCCCCATATTGAACTCTACAGAGGTGGGCTCCAGAGGGTACTTATCCTAGTGTATGACCCAATCTCTTCTTATTCAAAACGCACACACAGTACAATACCTCTGCAATTATGGAAGTGAGATTGGATTTTTTCTAGTATTTCTCTTAGAATTGATGGAATCTGTGAACATGCATCTGAGAAAAGAACTGAGTTCATTATGTATTTTCTTCCATAACACAAACAACATTCTTAAGAAACTATAGATCATTACATTATACAATTATTCTTGGCATTATAGTAATATTAAACTATCAGAAGATAAGACAGACTTTTCCTGGATTTTGAAAGCGATTCATCAGAGAAGTTTAAACCTTCCCACATATTTAAACCAGGCATATTTACATTGTACTCAGGATAGAGTTCCATTTTAGTTGACTATTTCTTCTAGCAAAGGTTTGAAAATTCAGCATAGTACAGTCCTTTGAAACATCTGTATGCTGTAGGCCTTGGGTATTTTTTAATCTTTCATCTTTTGTAAGTATCAAATTTCATTAGAAAAATAAGCTATAGGCACTGTGAACTAAGAATGGTGAAATTCAATATTCACTATGACCATTTCAAAAATGAACAGCAAAAGGGAAAATGTAGCCCAGCCTCTGCTGTATTGCTTTGCATCTAAATATCCTGAAGAGTCAAGAGATTTTAGGTACAATTTGTTTTATTAAATTCACCAGAGAACTTATTTTTTTAGGTGGTGTTACTTTGCTAAACATGTTTATAGCTTACAAGCAGGGCTCGACAAATCAGTAAATCTACTCATTCGTGGAAAGTAGATTTCAGACGGTCGCCCCGTTCACCGGTGGCACGTGCAATGCGGTTCTTGCGCAAGTGCAGTGCAAGGCTGACGAGTAGATTTCACCGCGGTTTGTCAAGCCCTGCTAACAAGAATACATAGGTAATAGTCTAAATCTAACCTGCCTTCAGCTCTTTCAAGGTTTTATAATACTCTGTCCTCTGTGAATAGTTATGTTGTGAAAAGTTCGGATTAAAGTGATATATTTTAGTAAATACATGTTATGTATTTTGAATTACTGTGATTGTTTTTGAGTTAACTTCAAGCAAAAAACTGTTAAGAACTCTATCCAGGCAGTATATTACACTGAGAAATCTGAGTGAAAGTGGAGAGAATAATTCAAAACGGCTATTTCCTATCAGTTTAGAACAAAATAAATGTAGTAGCTGTTCATATTCTTAATATTCTCTTTATAAATTCATACTTTAATGAAAAATGTCTCTATTCATAATACTTAAAATACTTATTCATGTAAAACATCATCATGTTCTGGCAAATAGTATTTTTTAAAATATTTGCATGAAACATACCGGCTCCATAACTAGAAAATCTACATAAAGTGAACTGAAGTATGTTGGAAAAGCAAACTGAAAACAAACCAAAAGGAGTATGGCCAGATTGTGAATACCTTAATTATGTTGGTGAGGCATTTGCTCACACAATTAGTCCTACTAAAGTTATTGAGACTACATGTATGAATAATTGCTCACCAGTAAGGGGGAAAGATTCACGATCTTGCCGTAGGAAGCCTTTCTAGACTATTTGTATGTTGAGGGAACACACACACCACTAAGCTAAATAATGTATTTTTCCTTTTTTTTTCAGGTGTAATTCATGGATCATCTTTTGTTCTTGAAATAAATGATTTTCTCCTTAAAACAAGTCTCAAAGGAAGAAGCAGAGCTCTTATAGGCCCCTTCTGCTGTTCTGTCAATGTGGAAGCTAAGTGGTGTAAGCACAGTGGTAATCCTGGTCCAGAGCAATCTGTTCCTAAAATTCATCTTGACTTAAGAGGAGGGCTGATACAGGTCTGTATATGTTTTTGGTTCTGATATTTAAGCAAATTTGCCTTAAATCTTATTCTCTTCCTAAACTACACAGAAAACTTGTAAAACATTGCATCGTGAGACACTTCATTATGTTTGAAATTTTTTACGTTTTTCAAAGAAGTGTGCATTTATATGAAACTACTGATCAAATAGAACAAAACTGCCTACAATATTGTAAAGAACTGTTTAGACCACTTTACAGTAGTATAGCTATATGTGTGTGTTCTCTTAAAAGTACTGTATCAGGTTACTAACGCTTAACATTTGAGGGCCTCTTCTGTTTTGTGTGTGCGTGCATATGTGCATACGTGCATAATGCCTTGGGGCAGCTCTAATAAATGTACTTCAGTTTTTTAAAACTTACAGAAAATTCTCAGGGGAGTAATTGACAATTGTTATTTGTGGCAATTAACACTCAGTTTTACATGCTATCCTCCTCTTCAGTTCTGTGTGTCTGTAACTGGACGAGTGTCCAAGAAACACAGGAGCTTTTGAAACAAAGAATTCTGTTCTGCTGTATAGCTTAAGGAAGAAGGCTGTAATATCATTAGAACAAGATCTATACATATTTACAGTAAGATTTATAAGCACCATATGTTAAAAATAAATAAACTCTAGCACATATACATAAAAAGAAAAATCTGATATTTTATTGAGCCTTTTCCCCTCACCTAAATAAAGAAATTCTTAAAATCTCAGTGTTATGATTAGAATTGATTGTATAATACCAAAATTATTAAAATATTTTCATCAATAAAATAAGCAAATTTGTTCACTATTATTTATCTGCTAATTGTTGTTCACGAGTATTTAAATGGGCATAATTCATGAAAATGTTCCAAATACCAAAACTTTCACCAGATTTATCATTGATGATTATTAGTACAAAATTTATTGAAGCACCCTACTCGTTACTCACTGTTCACTATTATCCTTTTTCAAAAAGATTGTCAGAAAACGATCAGATACCATGTGACTGAAGTGATCAGTTACAGATTACAAATAGCATATGGCTGACATGAGAGCTGTCAAACAACCTCCAAGCAAATTTGTTAGTGTAAATATTTATAAACAAAACATTTTCAGAAATCTGGATCAGTTTGTGTTTGCAAAATGAAAATAGGTTTTATTTACAATTAATCATTAATAACAAATAATTTGACCAGCTCTAAATATGACCTCATGTATCACCATTATTAATGTTTATTATGGTAGCGCCAAGAAGTCCCACATGATATTGATGCCTCTTTGAGTTAGTTACTGTACCTACAGGTCCCTGCCCTGAAGATCTTTCAATATAGACAAGACAGATCAAGAGTGGGAGAAAATAATTGTTTATCACCACTTCACAGATTGAGGACTGAGGCACAGATAAATTAGTAGAGCTGTGGGCAAATCAGGTGTGGCAAAGCCAAGAATTAAATTAAATCTTTTGTGTCCCAGCCCAGTGCCTTAACCACAAGACCATCCTTCCTCACTAGCACACTATAATCTGACAAAAAAAAGTCTGTTGTCTCCTTTGATTGTTAGACACCCTTCTCCTCCTTACAGTATGAGAATTACATGTTACTACTGAATCTTCCAGATTGTTCCTCCAGATGACTGTGCTTTCTAGTCCTTGTTTTCCTCTCCAGTAAACTTACAATTCATGGTAGTGAGTTACTTCCACTACCATTTGTGATTCTACTTCCATTAGGCCATACTTTCTCCCACAATTTACATTTGGCTGCAGAGGAAAGGAAAACATGGTTCTCAGCCAGCTTTACTGCATGATATCCTGCTTCTGTACTCCATAGTGAAAAGATCTTTTGTGTTAACACTTTATTCCTTCCACCCACCTACTGTAGACTTCTGACCTACCATCTGGTGGTTTCATCCTGTGATGAAATCAGTAGATAAGGTTGCTTCTATTTTTCTCTTTGCCTCTCAGTATGCTTCTGCACACAGAATCCTGAATCATTGGTTGTCATCTCATTGTGTCAGACAAATACTTGAGATACTGCATTCTAGATAGCCTACTAATTTTTGGTGTTTTGATATTCCATTGGCCTAACACTGGAATGCCAAGGACCACGGCTGATTAAATTTTGAGTGATATGGTGTGGATTAGACTAGCTACAGCTTTAAGTGAAATGCAGAGGGGGTTCCAAGAGCATGTAAGGGCATTTGCTGAAAAATTCCATTGTCATCACTTTGTCACTGGTTTGCCAAGCTTGCAGGATTGCTGCAGACAGCAGTGTGAATGAAGAAATGAAGCACTGCTTGGCAAGGTGAAAGAGAACGAATATTTCTTTCTCAGCTGGGAAAGACTGATCCATTCATTCCCAGTGCACTTGCTGCCTGCTGAAAGCACCCAATTAGGATTAGATATATTAGTGTTCAAACAATTGGGATTACAAATCATTCACTGTTATATGATTCACCATGCAGAGCCAGTTAACATGGAACAAACATTGTCCAAAGCAGACTGTGAAGAGCTTCAAAGGCTCTCACAAAACAAGATGACTAGGCAACAAAATGTCAGATTAATTTAAATGTTGATAAATGCAAAATAATGCGTATTGGAAAACATAATTCCAACTCTACATGTAAAATGATGGGGACTAAATTAGCCTTCAAGAGAGAGGTCTTGGAGTTATTGTGAATAGTTTTTTGTTTTGTTTTTTAAAACATCCACTTATTGTGCAGCAGCAGTCAAAAAAGAAAATAGAATGGTAGGAGTAATTTAGAAAGGAATAGAGAATACAGCAGAGAATATCTTATTGCCTCTATATAAATCCATGGTATGCTCACATCTTGAATACTGTGTACAGATGTGGTTGCCTCCTCTCAAAAAAATATCTTGGCACAGGAAAAAGTTCAGAAAAAGGCAACAAAAATGATTAGGGATTTGGAAAGGCTGCCATATGAGGGAAGAGATTAATAAAACTGGGACTTTTCATCATAGAAAAAGACCAAGTTGGGATAAATAGAGGGCTATAATAAAGTCATTATTATTATTAGCCAGAATGGGTAGGAATGTTTTCCTTGGCCTCTGTTTGTGAGAAGATGAGAATGGGTGACAGAGGAAGGATCACTTGATTATTACCTGTTCTGTTCATTCCCTCTGAAGCATCTGGCATTGGCCACTGTCGGAAGACAGGCTGCTGGGCTAGATGGACCTTTGGTCTGACCCAGTATGGCTGTTTTTATTGCAGAAATCATTTCAACATTCTTTTTAAACTTTGTCAGTAGGCAGGCCCTGTTCCCAGCCACTGGAGCACATCCCCTCCCCACCCCCCATGCAGCAGGTCCCATTCCCGGCCCCAGCCGCCGCTGCCACGTGGTAGCCCCAGCCAGCAGAGCAGGCATCCCCCTGCCACGTGGCCGCAGCAGGTCCTAGCTCCCTCGTAACACCATCTCAGCCAGCCCTGCCCACCGGAGCAGCTGCCTCCTGCATGGTTCTCCGGAAGAGGTGTGTGGAGGTAGAATTTTTGTGTGCAGCCATGCAGTACTCCCACACATACACTCTAAACATATTAAAATGGAAGGAGATTGTGATTCTTTGATACAATTTCCTTTGCTGGTGCGCCTCCTGAGGCAGCACAACAATGCACTCACCTGTATACAGGATTTATGACAAAGCCATGGCTGACCTCAAGAAAATTTTTCCAAATATAGTCTGTGTAATATTCAATGCTATTTATTTTACTGTACAAGTGTACTGTACTGTAAATTGCCACGTTTGCTTTTTAAAAAAAAATTGCTTCCCATGTACACATCTATCATTCAGAACTCTACTCTGAACTCTTATCAGTGTGGCAGTGATGCCAGATCAAATATCTTTCAACTATTTCCTGGGATAGTAATGACATGCAGAAATCTAGTGTGCAATGTAGAAGGAAAGAAGCATTTTTACTTATTTCGATACTTGGGAATTGTTAAAAATGTTTCCAAATTATCAATATTTTAAAGTACTGTCAAAGACAAAGACTATGCAATTTGTTTGAGTTATGGCCCCTTCCTTCCTTTCTGACCCAGTAGGACTAAAGGAACTATACTATGGTCACTTATTATGTGTACTATAATACCTAAAGTGATCATTAGCGAAAAGTGAGGTGGTTGGTTATTTTTTTTATTGCATTAGTTAGAATTTGTCTCTGCCTTATTACCTCTATTGAAATGGTAACAGACAAGGTCAGGCTTCTTATCGGGACCCCTTCTTGCACACATGCACAAGGTGACCACTGCAGATTTTTCTAATACTGATAATAGTAAATCCTCTCATCTTTATTTTAGCATATTTGGCTTCATGTATGTGACCTTGTCAAAATTGTCCTTGCAGTGGACATTAAATATTGAAAGATGATATGATTGAACATTAAAAGCTTTTTCTGTCTTTGTAGGAAGTTATATTGTACTCAGTGTTCTTTTTTAAGTCTTAATTCTTATGCAAATCAACTTCTAGTTCATCTCTAACACATGCTCGTAGTCATATATTATAATACATCTAGTAGTCATAGATTTTATCCAGCTGTTTAAAAATACCTGTATATGCCCTTCTGGCATATGTCATCGTATAATTTTTATAATGACATACAGAAGCCTTATTTAAATTTGATTTTGCTCAGTCAGTATGGCAGTACATTGCAGTGCTATTATGCATCTGAGTGGAGCCTGACAAAGGAGTGTTGGCAGAATTTGGTAAACATTGTCCAAAGCAAGTGTTTCACATTTATTAGTCTCCTGAAAATGTATTTTTAAAGTCATGAAACTAATTGTTCCTAGAGCTAAATTATTGCACTCACTGAAAAGTATGTTGGTATTCAGCAAGCAATAATCCAAACAGAGCAAGTTAACTTCTGCATATCACAACAATCGTTTATGAAGATATATTACTTCTGTGTGTTGCCATATCAAGTTCTCTTGAAATGGTGACGATGATTTAATCTGTTTAAACTGAAGTCAGAATTCTACACAAGATGTTTGAGAGAGATCCA